TACCTGAGTAAACAGCCCCACATGCACAGTCCATGCTTATAATCCTAGCTACTCAAGAGGCTTATCTCTGAGGATCAAGGTTCAAAACCAGCTAGTTTTGAAAGTCCATGAGACTCCTATCTCCAATTAACCATTAAAAGGCTGGAAATGGAGCTGTGACTCAAGTGCTAAGTACCAGCCAGCCTTGAGCAAAAAAAGCTGAGGAACAGTATCTAAGCCTTGAGTTCAAGCCTCAGTATCTGTACCAAAAAATAGAAAGAATGAATGAATGATGGAGGGGAGAGGAAGGAAGGAATAAGAAGGAAAGAGAAAAAAAAGAAACAGAAGAAAGAGAGAGAGAGAGAGGGAGAGAGGAAGGGAGGAAGGAAAAAGGAAGGAAGGAAGGAAGGAAGGAAGGAAGGAAGGAAGGAAGGAAGGATAACTTAAAGGGAGAAGGATTTCTTTTGCTAACAGTGTAACAGTGTCTGCAGTTTTAGTCTTGGTCAAACAACTCCATGTTTCTGATCCTGTAGTGAGACAGACATCATGGAAGCAGGAGTGGAAAACAGAGGCTGCTCACTTCCAGATAGGAATCAGAGTGAACAAGGAAGAGACCAGGGACCATGTGTGAACTTCAAAGACATGTTCTCACTGCCTCAACTTCCCATTACCTCCTAAAATAGCACCACCAGCTAGAAAATAAACATTCAACACATGCGCCTATGGCGAACATATTAAAGAAACCATAGTATTAAAATAGGTGCATTGTTCAGGGAACACACTGTGTTCAGCTCTGCTCTGAGATGGACATCTTCCTCCTCTTTCCAAGATGAAAACACTGAGCCTCCTCAGGATGGAGTTATCCAAGAATACATACCTTTGAGCTCATTTTGAACTTTGGTCTAGCTAACTGTTTTCCATCTACCTTTCTATCCCATTTTTACATAGATAGACTGTAATTTTTTTTAAATTCTCTAACTACTGAGTCAAAGAAGAAGAGGCAGGCTTAGAAATGCCTAACCACTCAGATAACCCCATCTTCTCTGGTGTGCAGAAATCTCAGACAATGGGTTTTTTTAATTTTATTTTTGGTGTTTTATCACATCATTGGTCATTAATGGCATTTCTACCCTTCATTCCAATCTTTTGTGGGTTTTCTTGCCTTTTTTTCTCCATTTCCAACAATGGACATTTGCCACAAATGTTTGAACTGAAAATGTTCCAATAAATGTTCCACAACAACCAAAAATATTCTAGTAGTAAAATATAATGTATCTGGTGGTTATAAAAATGGAAAAAATGTCAGGCACTGGTGGCTCACACTTGTAATCTAGCTACAAAGGAGGTTGAGATCTGAGGATGACAGTTCAAAACCAGCCGAGGCAGAAAAGGCCCCATGAGTCTCTTATTTTCAATTAGCCACTCAAAAACTGTAAGTGGAGCTGTGGCTCAAAGTGGTAGAGCACGAGCAAAAAAAGCTCTTGGTCAACAACTTAATTCAAAGCCCCATGATCAACAAACAACAACCAAAAAGAAAAAAAATGTAATAGGTCTATACATAGAATATGTATTAGAACATAAGTATATAGAGATGAAAGATGAACTTCTGAATTTATGTATAATAAAGAACTTAGCCTACTAGTCAGATAAGAGACTGAATAATGAAGACAAAAGTTACAACCTCTACTTAGTACTTAGTGATTAGTCTAAAGGTGAAAACTTAAAATGACTGATTTGTTGTCTCATTACCAGAAAAAGATTCTGAATAGTTAGAGTAAGTTTGCCACTCTTTCTTAGCTTGAGTTGAGGACATCAAACACCTCTCCATGTCTGATTGACATCTGATTCCCATGAATTTGGTCTCTGGACAAAGGTAATGGCGATGAGCTAATTTTATTTCTTTTTCTATTTCTATTTCAATTCATTGACCACAGTTAGTTTTGAACAATATTAGATATGACTGTGTTAAACACCAAAAAAAGTAAACAGAAAAGATTGGCCTCTGCTTTCCTCTCTAGCATGGAGGCCCTGATGTCCAAGGATGTTGACATCTTCTAAGTTAACATCTTCTTCCCAGTCAGAAGTGCCAGCAGTGTCTCCCACTCGGAAATATAATAGAGATGCTATAGGGTGATAGAATTATTTGATAGAATTCAGAAAAGATAGGTTTGGCTAGACACTGGTGGCTCATACCTGCAACCCTAGATACTCAGAAGGCTGAGATCTGAAGAGTAGGGTTCAAAGTCATCCTAAGCAGACAAATCTGACAGTCTCTTATCTCCAATGAGCCATCAAAAAGCAGAAGTGGGCAGTGAGGCTCAAGAGGTAGAGCACCAGCATTGAACAAAAAAGCTAAATAAGGGTATAAAACCCTGAGTTCAAGCTCTAATACTTCTGGCTCTGGAAGGGAAATGAAGGGAAGGGAAGGGAAGGGGAAAGGGAAAGGGAAAGGGAAAGGGAGGGAAAGGAAGGGAAAGGGAAGAGAAGGGGAAGGGAAAGAAAGGGAAGGGAAGGGAAGGCAAAGGAAAATAAAGGGAGAGAAGCGGAGGGAAAGGAAAGAAGGGAGGGAAGGAGGGAGGGAGGGAGGGAGGGAAGGAAGAGGAGGGGGTTGGAGGCATTCTCAATTTGTAGAGCATTAGCCAATGAACAAAAGCATCAGATACTGAGTTTGAGTTCTAGTATCAGATCCCCCCTCAAAAAGAAAAGAAAAGAAAAGAAAAATATAGATGACAGACAAGATAAAATTTGGAGATAGGAAGAAAGCAAAGCTTCATAATTCTCATCTGAACTACTATGCTAATTCAGTCTCAGGCAGTCCGAATTGTTCTTTCCACACAGTTTTAATTAGTAGCTTAACTGAATTGTAAAATTGCATAACCATTATCTCTATAGATTACAGAGTTTTTAATCTTTGAAAAAAAAAGTTTATTCTTTGAATTGTCAAATCTTTTGGGACCCTTACTTTCACTATGACATACTTAACAGCTGTGCTGCTCAGTCCCATAACCATTAGCCACATCTGGCCACTGAATACTTACAATGAGGTAGTCCAAAAACTGTGCATGTCCACCGTATACTGTATGCAACATATACCACATGTCCAAGGCTCAGCAATTTTTCTATTCTGTGTTGAAAATCAAATCTAAGGGAAAATCAAATTTTAACAAAATAATGGAATTTGTTTTAATATGCCTATAAGCACATTTGAAATTAAATCTGTACTTTTCTGTATAACTGTGAGACAGCATTGTTGCAAATAATACAAAGGAAAGATTCCCAGACTATACTCAGTTCTAATTACTGTCTGTGAAAGATGAAAATAAAATGATAAGATATCTCTAATGGATGTGAAAACCTGTCTTTTGAAATCAGCATAAAATGAACTAATGCTAAATGGAAAGGTCCACCTGAACTCAAAAGAAATAAGCTTTTAAGGTAATTGCAAGACTGGTGGGCAATCGTCATAAGGCCTCAAGGGACCCCAAGTTGTCCACTTATTACCCCCCCATTAGAGCTCATAAAAAGCTGTAGAGATGTTAGCCTTGTGTTTCAGTTGCTATCACTGCACTGAGAGGGGAGAGGGGAAAACAGGGAGAAGAAAGAGAGAGAGGTAGAGAGGTACAAAGAGAGGAGGATGGAAAAAGAGGGAGAAGTAAAGGAAGGAAGGAAGGAGGGAAGGAAGGAAGCAAGGAAGGAAGGGAGGGAGGGAGGGGGGGGAGGGAGGGAGGAAAGGAGAGAGGGAGGGAGGGAAGGGAAGGGGAGGAGAGGGAGGGAGGGAGGGGAGGGAAGAAGGGAGGGAAGGAGGAGCTGTGCATCACTCCTGATGTGGCATGGATGTGTCTGGAAGTGTTGGAAAATTAATCTTCAAAGTCCCTTTTCAATGCCATTTAGGTATTCTGTCATAAGGAAGTAATTAGAATTAGAGGAGGCTTGCCTGATAGGGATCTGTGCTAATCAGCTTGCACTACATTACCCTGTGATCTGCACCACATTATGATGTCACAAGAAAATCCCCACTACACCTAAACACCTTGATGTTGCACTTCCTAGTATCCAGAACTATGAGCTAAATAAGATTCTATTCTCCATTAATTATTCAGGGTGCAATATTTAGAAACAGCAACAACAATAACAATAAAACAGACAGACCTAGACAATCCCATTAAACCCTTCTAAGCCCTCTATGCTAGCTTCTGAGTTTTCAAGTGTAATCTAAGAAGCATCCCTCTCCCTGTTGCCTAGCCCCTGGGTGACCTTCTAAGGTCTTCCAGACTCAAAGCTAACAGGAGGATCTCATAAATTAGTTGCATGATTATATGTATATGTATAAATATACTTATATAAAATATATTATATAACTTATACTATATAAAATTATATGTCCCACATAATATATAACTATATATGATATATAATACATGTCATATATTTACATATATGTGTATGCATACGTATTTTTAACTGTCAGCTGAATGATTTTTATTTTATTTTAAGCTGAATGTTTTGAGATGTCATTTCTCTTTGGTACATTAGTTTTTCAATTTTGTCCAGTTCTTCCTCTCCTTTGCTCTTGCTGCTCAAGCACAGGACTAGCCAGGGACCCCTTCCCTGCCTCTGCCATCATCCAACCTGGTGTCACCTCCTGAATTCGCATCCATTTCTTTATGGCTCTGATCACATCTTTGTGACTTTAGCTAACTGAAAAAGAAGGTTTTGAATTATTAAAAATTAGCCAGCAGGCCAGGCGCCAGTGGCTCACGCTTGTAATCCTAGCTACTCAGGAGGCTGAGCTCTGAGGATCCCAGTTTAACCAGCCTGGGCAGGAAAGTCTGTAAGACTCATATCTCCAATAAACAAACAGAAAATTGGAAGTGGCACTGTGGCTCAAGTGGTAGAGCTCTAGCCTTGAACTAAAGAGTTGAGGAACAGCGCCCAGGCCCAGAGTTCAAGCCCCATGACCAACAACAACAACAACAAAATTAGACAGTAATGGCAACCAGTCACACAATTACAAAATAAGGTAAAGTTGCAGACAGATTTATTCTAACAATTTGCTATTCTTCTCTACATTCAAGGAAACAAAATAAATCATAGCAAAATGTTATTTTAAACAATATTCATTATTTGACAATAATCAGAAACTGGTCCAATGAGTGGAAATGGCTAAATCAGTTGTGATATATTTATATAGTAAAATCAATTTTTGACAAATATTTAAAGTCATGCATTTGCAGACTAATGACTGTGTTACATCATAAGAATTCATATAAATACATAAATACAGATAATTTGATCTGACTATGTAAAAGAAACTCCATAGGAAACATGAACAGTGGCTGCCGCATGAATATGAAGTTATAGACAATTTTTCTTTATATACAGCTTTTGTGTTTTAAATTTTTTTACAATTAATATACATCACTTATGATCAGAAAAATATGTACACAAAATAAAACTATTGATTCTCTTGTGTCAGGTTTTAGTAACAATTTCGACTTTATCAAGAATACCACTAAAATCATCTTTCATGGAAAAAAATGGTACCACCTCTGGAGATGATATACAATATTATATTTATTTATTTATATTTATTATACTGTAAGAACCAGTGTCAGCAAGGTTAGTAATGCCTGTTATGACTGCTTTGTCTTGCCTCATATGACATAGGCTTATGTATAAAACAACTACAGTATAATTGGGAGAATTCTTGATTATCAGCAAGACATACTCGAAGGGCAGCAAAGGAGAAGATCTAATTAGCCCTTTTCTGTAGAAATCAGTAGCATGTTTCTGTGCAAAAGTTTGAAGCAAAGCTAATTCAAAGCTACTTCCATGAACACAAAAGAAACATAAATTGAATCTCCAAGATGACACACAAAAAAGAAAGAAACCTTCCTATGTTATCAGACCTGATTGCTTTGGAACCTATTAGGAACTTTGAAAACTATCAATTCGAGGAATTGCTGGCACATTTCTAAGAACAGTGTTGAAGCACTCTTCACAAAATGAGTTATTGTTTCATTTTGTGCACTAGGGCCATTTCATTCATTTCAAGGTCTGCTCAAAAATAAAAGGATATATGATTGGATTAACCATGTTGCTCATAAAAAGCACATTTTCTTCCTTTCACCTAGAAACCTTGTAGTATACTACATTTCACAATTGCTTTCTGCTTACTGAAAAGGCCAGCATCCCATAATTCATCTTCAGTTTTTGCAAACATTTATCTGAAGTCTCTTGTTACAGAGACTCTCAATAAGAGACCAGTAGCAAAAGCCCTCAAGGACCTGGGATTTAAAAAGAAAGCTCAAAGAATTCACATAAAGTATAAATTGTCATAGCTTGCTCTCTTAATATATCATTAGCCATAAATATAAATTAGTGTCAGCATCCTTTGATGGAAATGCTGACTTTAAAAAAAGTCACTGTGCCAATAGTTCATGCCTGTAATCCCAGCTACTCAGGAGGCTGAGATCTAAGAATCAAAATTCAAAGCCAGCCCAGGCAGGAAAGTGCATGAGATTCCAAGAAGCTTTAAGTGGCTTAACTGTTCGAGTACCAGCCTTGAGCAAAAAAGCTAAAGGACAGCACCCAAGCCCTGAGTTCAAGCCCCAGATTGGCATACACAAAAATAAAAAAGAAAAGAAAAGAAATGTTTCTGCCTCGGGGCCCTGTGTCATGTCTCCTATATATGGTCTATCATCTTGCTCATGGGAAACTAGGTTAGCTAGAGGCATTGTCATTAGGTTTCACCATGGCAACTGAGAGGGACTCAACTTTTTATTCTAAAATTTTCAATTATTACTTTAAGAAAAACATGAAATTGAAAAATGGACACACATACAAAATTCCTAATTTTTTCCTTCTAATTTCTGTCCACTATTTGCATTGATGTGGTTTCTATTCTTTTTAATGCTTTCCTATTGGGGAAATTATGATACCTGTCAATTTCTTAATCATCCCAAAAGGAATGAATCCAGACTCTATTCACATTATTCCATATTTTACTGTCTCTACACTCATTTAAATCTTTGTCATGTGCCACAAAAGCATTTTCTATATGAAATTTAGTTTTATAACACTGAGAAGTGAAAACAGCTAGCAGCTGATGTGTGCATAATTATGTCCAAACAAATGGCTAGGAAAATGTTCTGGTTATTTGTAACTTCTCCTGCCTTTCTTGTTATAGTAAAAAATAAGAGAAAGAGAAACAATAAAAGCAAGAAACAGAAAAGCAAGGAAAGCCAATAATGACTTCCGAGTGTGAAAAAAGCCACATTCAGCACACTCTGTATATTCTGGACAAAACCTTCCCAGACTTTTGGTGCCCAGGAAACCATTGTTGTCGATTAGCTTCCTGTAATGTTTCATGGATGGTTTGGGCTCAAACTGATTTGCCAGATAATAATAGAAGCCAAAGTTTGGAGCGGAGCGATCACTGAATGAATAAGCGAAGTATCCACAAAGATTGATACCATCCAATATGTAGGCTGGAAAAAAGAAAAAGAAAAAACACCAAGAAGATTTATTAAAATTATTTCACACTCAACACAGTCCTTTGGCATCGCTTCAGTAGAATCAAGGGAAATCTCAATATCATTTAGTAAGACTCAATTAGATTTCATCAGAAAAGTCCTCCTTTTATGTAGGGACAAACAGGCAAATAACAAGATGTGGAGCTACATCAAGAGGTGGCTTTTACTAAGCTGCACTTGAATATCACCCAGTTAACACGGCCATGGAGTTGACCTGAGATGTGAGGTTCTGAGATGCTTTGATAGGTCCAAAGGTGTTTGAGATTGCTGGTATTTCACTTTTCCCTACCCTGACTATCTGACTTTCTGACTTTCTGTCTGTCTGTCTGTCTGTCTGTCTGTCTGTCTGTCTGTCTGTCTGTCTGTCTGTCTGTCTATCTATCTATCTATCTATCTATCTGATACTGGGCTCAGTGCTCTCGCTTAGCTTTCTTTGCTCAGCTTTCCTTGCTCAAGGCTGATGATCTGTTACTTGAGCCATACCTCCACTTCCCACATTGGCAGGCTCATTGGAGACAAGAATCTCTCTCCTGTGTGTCAGTCTGGGAGGTCTTTGAACTACAACTCTCAGATCTCAGCCTCCTGATGGGTCGCCAGCCACCAGCACCTGGCTCCTCCATTTTCTAACCGTGAGGGACTGTTTTAGTGTGGTCAGGAATGGATGGCCCTTGGGAGCAACTGTGGTTTCTGTTGGAGTCATTCTATGAGAAAGCAGATCCGGAAGTGGCATACCTTCCAAGAAAATGCATCTTCAGAGGCTTCTTACCTTTCAGGGCTTCGTTTATATAATTCTGTAGGTAATACACCCTCAGCTTGTCTTGCTCATCGACAAGGGGATCGTCATCGATGCCGTTGGCAACGATGTACATGGGGAGGTCTCCGTACTTGAATCTGAACCAACTCAGCACCTTGCGCAGGCCCCAGGGGACCACCGCCACCTCACTGGGAGAGTTGAGCCAAGTGATGTCTGTCATTTCTTGCACCTCTAAGTCGTGGTTATATTTGCTCGGATCTTCTTTTTCCCAATCTACGAGGATAGTGGTATAATGGCTTAAAGCTAAAAAGTCAAAGGAACCCTGGATGAGTTGTTTTTCTTCTTCAGTGAAATAAGGTAGGAGAACATGATTTCTTTGGTTCAACCAGTCCCTCATCACCTGTGGATAATCTCCAGAACCGAAAATGGGCTCTGCCAGCCAGCCAATGTCAAATTCCAAAACTCTCTCAGCCACTTCTTGGTCTTTGGGGGAGAAAGGACAGGCAGGTTCTATCCAATCAGCCTGCAAGGCAATGGATATTTTGCCTTTCTGAATGGGCCTGAATTTCTCATCATACTCACGCCAAGCCAATGAATGCGCCTTCAGAAGGTGGTGGCCGGCTCGGTAGGTCATGTTCCTGGTGTTGGGCTCCTTCATCGTGATCCAGAACTTCACATGGTGGCCCAGCTCTTTGAAGCACAGGCCCGCATACTCTGCAAACACCAGTGCAGTGTTTGGGTTCTCCCAGGCGCCATGTTTAGCCAGGGCACTGGGCAGGCCTTGGTGTGGGGATGTAGGTTGCCACAGAGCCACCACCGGTGTGATATTGGCACGGACCAGCTCGCTGACCACGCAGCGATAGTAGTGCAGGATGGAGTGATTTACCTGGGACCGGTTCCCTAGAGGAAGGATCAGAGCCCAGTCCAGGGTGAAGTGAAAATGGGTAATGTGCATTTCCTTCAGTAAGGCCACCTGGGGTAGGATGGCAGCAAAGTCAACACAATAAGACTTTCTCTTCTTGGCCACAACTCCATCCACTTTGATAAGTCTCTTGCTGTGATGGACATCCCACAGGTAAACATTCTGGTCAGTAAACTGAGAGAGAGTAGTATCTACCTACAAAGAACCCATACATGTTAGCGTCACCTGAACAACCTGGAAAAGGTAAATCCGATGTCAACAAAACTAGTGAGCAAGATGAGCAACATTAGGCTCTTTTCCAACTCAGATTTTAAAACATTTTTCATAAATTTTGACTGCTTTCACAATAACAAAAAAAACAACGCTTCTGCTTAAAAATGTATATTGAGCCAGGTGCCTGTGGCTCACACCTATAATCCTAGCTACTCAGGAGGCTAAGAACTGAAGATCCAGGTTTGAAGCCATCCCAGGCAGAAAAGTGCATGAGATTCTTAGCTCTAGTTAAAGATCAAAAAGCCAGAAGTGGAAGTGTAGCTCAAGTAGTAGTGCCAGCCTTAAGTGATAAAGCTAAGGGGCCCAAGTTCAAGCCCTAGCACCAGCATCAAAACAAAACAAAAAGAAGAAATGCATATGTGTATAATCCACAATTTCCCTCCCCTCCTTATTTATTTATTTATTTATTTATTTATATTGGTCATGGGGCTTGAACTCAGGGCCTAGCTGTCCCTGAGCTTTTTCACTCAACGATAACACTCTACCAGTTTGAGCCACAGGGCACTTCTGGTTTTCTAGTGAGAATCTCATGAATGTTCCTGCTCAGGCTGGCTTTGACTCACAATCCTCAGATCTCAGCCTCCTGAGTAGCTAGAATTACAGGTATGAGTCCCCAGCATCCAGCTTCACCCATATTTTTATTAGCATCAATTAGTTGTATGAAGGAGTTTCATTTTGATGTGTCTATATATTCATGCAATGTACTTTGACTCCCTCCTTCCCTTTCTCTCTCTTTTCAAACCAATCTCAAAGAGTTTTATTGTTCCTTTTTTTTTCCTTGGTCAGTCGTGGGGCTGAACTCTGGGCCTGGGCTCTGTCCCTCAGCTCTTCAGCTCAAGGCTAGCACTCTACCACTTGAGCCCCCGCACCATTTCTAGTTTTCTGAGTGATTTATTGGAGCTAAGAATCTCATGGACTTTCCTGCCCAGGTTGACTTTGAACTATGATCCTCAGATCTCGGCCTCCTGAGTAGCTAGGAGTACAGGCATGAGCCACTAGCAAACGGATTTATTGTTCCATTTTCCTGCATGGACAGGCAGTATTTTTGCATTACCTGAAAGTCTTGCCAAGTCATAAACTATTATGATCCTGTTTTTAAAAATCTGAATTTGTCTTAGGCTGGCCTGGAACTCATGATCATCCTACCTCAGTCTCTTGAGTACTGGGATTAAGGACATATCTCACCACAACCAGCTTGAATGATTTTCTTTAATAAAAGAAACCAGCAATAGTATGAGGCTATTTGGATTTTTGTTGTTGTTTGTTTTCGCTTATTTAATTTAGTTTTTTGTTATCTTTAGTTGTACAAAGCGGTTTCAATTCAACGTATAAATTTATGAATACAATGAATCTTGATCAACATCACCCTTCTCATTATTTTCTTCCATCTCTCCCAACAAAAACAAATTTTCTTAAAAACCAAGTAACAGGGTTAGATAGGTAGTAGTTCAAATATAGAGAGCCTACCTAATAAGTGGAGGCTGAACTCACACTTTAGTTCTGCCAGGAAAGAAAAAAAATCAACTAAAGACCAAATAGGCAGAAAGAAAGAAAGAAAGAAAGAAAGAAAGAAAGAAAGAAAGAAAGAAAGAAAGAAAGAAAGAAAGAAAGAAAGAAAGAAAGAAAGAAAGAAAGAAAGAAAGGAAGGAAGGAAGGAAGGAAGGAAGGAAGGAAGATGGGGGAGGGAGGGAGGAAGGAAGGGAGGGAGAGAGAGAGAAAGGAAGGGAGAGAGAAAGGAAAAGAAAAGAAAGGAAGGAAGGAAGGAGGGAGAGAGGGAGGGAAAAAATGAAGGAAGAAGGGAGGGGAGGGAAGGAGGGAAAGAAGGAAGGAGGGAAGGGAGGAAGGAAGGGAGGGAGGAAAGAAGAAAGGAAGGAAGGAAGGAAGGAAGGAGGGAGGGAGGGAAAAAAGGAAGGAAGAAGGGAGGGGAGGGAAGGAGGGAAAGAAGGAAGGAGGGAAGGAAGGAAGGAAGGAAGTTAAAAGTTTAGTTAGAGGGTAGAGAGGATAGGTAGGAGTGGGAGAAATGGGGCAGAATGATGGAAGTGGTAACATTGATCATGATGAATTGAACTCATAAACTGACCTTTTGAATTGAAAATCCTTGGTACAACTAATAAAGATAAATTTAAGTCAGAAAATGCAATGATACTATTGAATTGTGTTTCTGGAAATCATCCCCTGTATTGAGATTTGCTCTATGTATTAAATAAGCACAGCTATTACCTTTCATTGGCTTTAGGGTCAAGTGGAAACTGAGAGAAAATGTAAATCAAAGAATAATATTGTCATCTACCCAGAGCATAATTTTCTTCAGTGTAATTTTAGTGGTTTTGTTTCCTGAATTATTTTTCTGTAATGATACTGACAATCATGGCTGGCAATCATAAAATATGTGAGCCTCCAAAAGAAAAAGGCCTACAATGAAAGTGGGCAGATTGTAAAAGGCAAAGTCACAAATTCCTCCATCCACAGCATACACACAGTGAAAAGCTCAGCTGTGTGACCTTCAACCTAAACCAGTTCTGAGAAACAATCCTCAGAACAGGTGCCTTGATCAGATCCCCCCTATAAAAGCAGAGCTCAGATCAAGCTGGGGGTTGAAACTCTAGGAGTGGTTATTATTGAATTTTACAGGCCTGTTGTAAAAGTACTGCCTGTTCTCTGGAGGGATATGTGTTGTGTTTATAAAGGAAAGTAATAAAGAATGTCAGAGGAAAATTGCTTTTCTGGAGAGTTTTCCCTTGTAGCTCCCTCACACATGTATTTCCCCAAAATGTTATGGGAATGCTGTCAGAAGCCTTTCTCCACGGGGATGCTCCTACAAATCCTGCTTCTTCAGCTTTCTCTCACATCTCTCTGTGATACTGAGGTTTAATTCAGCCACTCAAGTGATGCCTAAAACTCTTACTTTAGTTGTTTTTCCAATAGGGTCTCAAGCTGGTGGCTCAGACCAGCCTAGACTGTAATTCTCCTATTTGCACTTTCTGCTTACCTTGGTTTGACAAGCATACCCACCATGCCTGGCTAATTTTTATTAATTTTGGTGACATGTAGACAATTTTTTCTGCTAAAACTGAACTTAAACCATAATCCTCCTGGCCTCCATATTCTGAGCATCTAGGATTACAGGCATGAGCTATGGCACCCTACCTTTTCAAGTAAAAAAATATTCAGAGCTTGGAGGAATTTTGTCTTTTGGATTATTTTTATAGAGCTCTAAGTTGACTAAATTCATCACTTTTCTACCAGAATCATTCCAAAACATGTTTTATTCATTCCATCTGAAAATATACATGAGAGTCCACGGTATAATTGCTAGGCAGAAAAAAAATCAGTTTCATAAAATTCAGGACATTTAGAAATGAGTTTTAGGCAAATTTCATGTAACTTCTATTAGTTTGTTGACTTAGTTTTTCCTTAAAAATGAAATAATAAAATTGGACCTCTGAGAAAAAGAAGTAGGTATAAAGCATGCATTTAGTAGGCTATGGAAGAAATATTCTTCTCACAGGGACCCATGTCAAAGAAACTCTATGTTCCTGGGATACAGCACAGACTGTGTTTCCATTAACTACAAGCATTCCTGGTTATGGGAAAATAAACTGGCAGCTGGAAAATTGTGACCACGTAAAAGGACAGTCTATGTAAATGGGCCCAATGTCCCTCTTCTGAAAGGCTGTGTGGTTTGTGAGATAATATTTTTAAAGGTCTTTGAGTAAAATGCATGTCTCAAGATTTTGTAACACTAGCCAGGAGGGAAAGATAAAATTCCTTGGTTTAAAAACCACTGCTTGGGACTTGAATACACCATTGAAAACACGTACTCACCTCAGAACTTTTGTTTGTTTGCTTTTTTACTAGTACTGGGCCTTGAACTCAGAGTCTCTTGTGCTTACTGGGTCCCTCTATCCCACCACCTGCACAAGGCTGGTGCTCTACCACTTGAGCCACACCTCCACTTTCAGCTTTTTGCTGGTTAATTGGAGATATGAGTATCATGGATTTGTCCTCCCAGGTTGGCTTCAAATTGAAATCCTCACATCAGCCTCCTGAGTAGTTAGGATTGCAAGCACAAATCACCATGCCTCTGAATTGCCATTTTAATGTAGAGAAAGGGTTAAAGTCTGTGAACAACTCTAAAATGAATTACATGGCAGTGGGGGAGGGGGAGAGTGACACTGATCAAGATGCATTGAACTCACAAACTGCCATATTGAATTGAAATCCCTTTCTACAACTACTTAAAGATCATTGTAATCATATAAATAAATAAATCTAAGCAAAATAATAGGAATGGCATGGTCTATTCTTATGGCATGGCCATAAGAATAATCTAAACCAAAAAAGTGATATTGACTTATTTCTATATAGATAAAAGATTCCAGTTTGATATTTCCAAGAAAATCTCAATCCATTTCAACAGGAATGCCTTTACTCGAGTGATTTATAGGGCCAATGAATGGGCCAGAAGAATCCAAACGCTTTCTCTCACTGCTTACCTATGTACACTAAATTTTGTCTTACTGTTTTCACATATACTCTTCATCAGTGTCCTGACTCCACCACCCCGCTCCCCAATCACCAGCTTCCCAGCTCTCCCTCACATGATTTGCATACTCAACCCTTACCCTCCACAGATTCCTTAGTTCCTTTGAAAACAAGGGTCCCTTTCTCCCCTCCCTCCTTCCCTCTCTCTCTCTCTCTCTTTCTCTCCCTCTCTCTCTCCCCCCCCCCCCCCGTCCTAATTGTACTCCCCTTAACCAAGTGACATACAGAGCTTAGGTATCCACACATTTAGGTATATAGTAAGTGCTTACTGAAATGTTCTATCAAGCCCTAGAAAATAAGTTCCTTACACTTTGGGTGGGCGAGGAATGTGTGTGTGTGTGTGTGTGTGTGTGTGTGTGTGTATGTGTGTGTGTTGTGTGTGTGTGTGTGTGTCTTCAACAAATACTGGCTGATCATTTTGAAGCACTTCCATACCCTTTCAATAATAGCTTAAAAAGACATTTCTATCAGTGAATCATGGGAACAAGAATTTGTTTTCTCCTTTTTTATTTTATTTTTTAGGGTTTGCTTTCTTGTGATAATTCTACAAGTATAGAGGGCATCCACAATTATGTTCCTCCCTCAAGCTTAGAAGCCCCACTGAGATCTTGGATACTCTGAAGTTCGAAGCTACGTCTGCTTTAGTAAAATCTAGACTGCCATATGTGAGGAGCTAGTGGCTCTGGCTCATGCCCATTATCCTACTGGGAGGTGGAGATCAGGAGTGTCATGGTTCAGCCTGAAGGTTGAGGGAAGTTCAGGAAATCCCATCTCCAAAGGAAAAGTTAGACGTGGTGGCTCATGCCTGTCACCTCTCATATGAGGAAGCAGAAATAGCATCAAGATCCAGAATGAAGGGATTTTTAAAAAGTAAGACCCTATCTCAAAAATAACCAAAGCAAAAACACTGGAGGTATAGCACAAGTAGTAAAGTGCCTACCTAGCAAGCACAAAGCCCTGAATTCACACCCCCAAACAAAGGAAAACCAGATGCATTAAATAAGCATCAAAATCTACAACACTCAAAAGAGTTTTGTCTTTTTTTACTATTTTATCAGATTTAATTATTCATGTTTTCCATTTCCTTCCCTTTGGAACTAATTTAAAGTATCAGATGAAAGTTGGAAGATTTTTGGAGAGAATGGTGCAGCATTCAAAATGGCAAGCTTTGTGAGATCACTAAGGAGCCAGATCGGGCTCAAAGACCAGAAGCTGTGCCATGCCAAGAGCCTAGGAAGGAAACGCTACTTACTAGTGACAGGGCTTGGTGAGACTGCTGATGGGTTTTGGCGGCTGACTTACATGAATGTAGTTGTCAACAACTCCCCAAGCAAAGTCACAGGGAAATGTCCCTTCTAGGGGTTGATTTTCAGGTAAAAGAGGGAAGCCATTGTTCTCTATCAGCTTTTGGTAGAACAAGGCTGAAGACTTGGGCAGCAACTTCTTTTCCTGGCTGAGGAAGTCGACATAGAAGAGGCCACGTCGGATGCTATAACCTCTGTGCCACTCAAAACCATCCATCAGGGACCATGCAGTGTACCCAGTGACATTGACTCCATCCAACTTGATGGCTGCAGAGGGAAGAGAGGACAGAGCAGAGTGACACCTCGCTAGGCCTTGCCTTAGAATTCAAGAGCATTTGAGGCTTTTACTGCTTAAAGAAACGAGTCATGGGCTAACCCCTGTAATCCTAGCTACTCAGGAAGCTGAGATCTGAAGATCAAGGCTTGAAGCCAGCTCAGGCAGAAATGGCTATGAGACTCTTATCTCAATTAAGGGGCAAAAGTCAGAAGTGAGGCTGTGGCTCAAGTGGTAGAGTGCTAGCTTTGAACAATAAAAAAGCTAAGGGGCAAGCACCAAGGCATGAGGTCAAGCCCCCAGCACTCCATACACACTTAAGTGTAAGGCTTCTTTTTTGCTAAAACAGTGAGTTTTCTTATGTAGAGAAGACTCACATCAAATCTAAATAGCTACAAATAAATGTGTTCACATATGGATTCCTGGGATGGGATAGCTTCTTTTTTTTTGGGGGGGGGGGTCCGGTCGTGGGGCCTGAACTCTGGGCCTGGGCGCTGTCCCTCAGCTCTTCAGCTCAAGGCTAGCGTTCTACCACTTGAGGCACAGCGCCACTCCTGGCTTTTTTCTTTTTGCTTATGTGGTGCTGAGGAATAGAACCCAGGGCCTCAGGCATGCAACGCAAGTGCTCTACCACTGAGCCACCTTCCCAGCCCCATGGGATAGCTTCTTATTTCCCATGAGGGCTCTACCAGGCTGGGAAGATGTCTGGCTCTACTTTCTATCCTGGGCAACTAGCACTGTGCTTGATGCAATAAATGAACAAAATCTTATAAAGGATCAGCTAATATTTTACTGTTTCCTTCAAATAACCTGAGTGCTCCTTTTCCTTCAAAAAGTGTTTTATTCAGTCCAAAGACAGAAAGCTAGTTATCTTGAGATTTATATTACACTTAAGAGCAAATCCAGATCAGTAACTCTGTAAGTCAAATCACTTCAAACATTAACTCGGTTTCTTATTTATGAGTTTAAAAAATTAATTTAACACTTCAAGTCTCCAAATGAGAAAAGTATTACATAAATGAATCCTTTCTATTACCAAAATGATTAAGATTAAAGTCTACAAACTCACAGTGTGCAGCAGGGAATCTGAAAGGTTGTAGATTTTTGACAGGGAATGAAAGCCTACCTTTTAAGGTTTCCATTATAAACTTTTTGAGGTAATACATGTATTTGGCATCATCTCTTCTGGTGTTCCCTGAGACAAACCAGCCATTTTCCACAATAAATATGGCAGGATGATTATATTCAAGGTCAATCCAAGACAAGAGTTGCCTCAGGCTGGGAGATTCTGACTGATGAAATTTCATGTGAGGTTCCAAAAGTTGAAAACTCAAGGTCGGTCCAAAGGAAAGAGCAAAAAAGTCAGCTGTCCCTTTGATGAACTTTTTCTCTGATTCAGTAAAACTGGGCAGAAGAGAGGAAAGGTTATGCTTCATGCTCTCAGGATAGTCACCATCAATGAATATGGGTTTGGCAAACCAGCCTAGTACAAAGTCAAGAGATTTTTGGCATTCTTGGAGGTTATGATCTGTCATTCTTTGTGGACTGATCCAGTGGGAACTGAGAGCAATGGACACCTGCCCTCTCTGAGTGGGTCGGTAGAAAGTGTTGTAGAGATGCCAGATTTTGGCATGAGCCTGGAAAGGAAAAAAAGAATGATGAATTGTGAGGAGCCATGCGATACACAATGGATCCTCCAAATCTCCTTGAATCTGCTTCTCATGTAACCTAACCTCATGACTAACCAAATCAGCTGGAACCAATAGAGAGCACCCTCACAGTGGGCTGTCACCATTATCGGAGTTATAGCCATTATTTTTCCAGCATCCGGTGAAAAAAATAATGGGAACTGATTGTCTCATGTGGATATTTTTCATCTTTTGGAAAGTTCATGAAATAAGAATTTGTTGGATGTTACTCCTTGATCAACTCTGGATTATGTACTTTTTAATTAGTGGGTTTTGTGAAAAGAATCAGTCTTCCATCTGTGATCATGCCAGGAATTTCTAAATAAGATTATATATTTTATCCTAGGAGACTGGGAGTTTCCAAATTGACTCAACTTGTTGGAGTCAACTTAATGTTTCTCATTCATCTCTCATAGCCAAATCTAACACATGCCCTCACCATCTTTGTTCTTCCCTATGAATCAGAATAATAAATTGAAGGATGAACTCTGATATCTAACCTTGGCCCACCCTCCAGAACTCTGGGATAGAGCTGGCTGGCTTCCTACAGGCCCCGCGTGCAAGGGACAAGCCAAGAACAAACATCAACTAAATGAAACTGCAAGGAACTGGGTGACTGTGCTCCATTACCAGTTTCCTAGCAATGCAAAGGTCTTTGCTTGCACACAACCAACCTTGCACTCACACAAAATCTTACTGATGTCTGATGTTTTTTCTTCATTCTCTTTTTTCTTCTTTTTTATTTTCTGCACAAGAAATGGAACTTGAACTCAGGGCCTCACTCTTGCTCAGCTTTTTCTATCATCTGAGCCACACCTCCAATTCTGGCTTTTTACTAGTTAATTGGAGATAAGAGTCTCATGGATTTTTCCGCCCAAACTTGCTTTGAACTGTGATCTTCCGATCTCAGCCTCCTGAATAGCTAAGATTACAGACACAAGTCACCAGCACACAGCTCTAATGTCTTTTCTTTTGTTCCCTTTTGATTTTGAAGCCTGTAGATTTTTTTTTCTTCCTACTTGAATGAAGTTCCTCTTTATCTTTGAATTATTTGATTTATCTACTCTTTTTTCCCCTGTAAATACAAAGCCTATGATTTAACGTTTTACTTCCCTAACATAGATTCTTTGAAAACCCTATCCTAATTCTGTTTGATTCTGTATATTCTCCAAAATGATCGTGTGCATTTTTGTCCCCTTCCCAACTCTGAGCCCAAAGAAACCTTTATTGCTCAGTGTGCTAAATATCCTTTCCATTTTTTCTCAGATATTCTTTTCCTGGTTTGTTTCAAAGTAGGCATCCAGGAACAGTCTCCTCAACATTTTTTGAGTTCAGCTAAACATGTCAAGGAAGTCAAATTGTTTATGTCTTTTTTATTTTTAGTTTCTTAATGACATCTTTTGAGTTTTATTTCACTGCAAACATTTCTCAGCTTAGTTAAGAAGGAAATAGACAGTAAGACATGGATCAAGACCACAATGGCTTTTGTCTGTGTGACCCAAGAACATGGAGACTTAATCATGTCACATGGCCCCTCGCTCTGTGACAGCTCCTGCCCTTTGCCACCATCACACTCTCCTCCCTTTCCTGTTGACAGGAAGTTTCACAATGTCCTTTAACAGGTACACAGAAAAGTAAAGGAGTTATTCAGGTTGGCTCTTAGTAATTCATTTCTTGGGCCTAAGGATGGGGGTAAAATACCACCAGGGGACATTGTTCATTTCACCCAGTCTGGTAGGCATCCACCTAACAGAATATAATTGGTATCCCATTGTCAAACCTCGGATCAGATAACACAGTACTTTCTAGTCTGAGTCAGTTTTGTAGATAGCAGAAGTCAGACAGTAGAATTCTTCCTAGTCAGGGACCACTCTTCTAAACTGAGGAAGTGGCTCAGAGAAAGGAAATGCCAAGTGACCTGCCCCAGGGAAGAGCACAGGTGGTTGCTGAGGTCAGATTGCTTCTACTCCATGACTTTTCAGTTGTGTGTCTTTGGCCACATGACTTAACGTGAGAAGGTAAGCCAAACTTACCTGCCTTTCTCATCAGGCTGAGATTAAATGAGATAATTTATGTTCTCTGCCACTACTTGAAGGATTTGCCTCAATTCCCAACTCCCTGGCACAATGATTTTCTACTGAAAGTTTGGAGATTGCCAAGGGTCCCACATTTTATAGGTGCAGCACTGTAAAGTATATGTTAACCGCTTACTCTTCCTCACTGTCCATCTCCACTTCTAATCTTCACCTAAGAACATTTCCCCAATAGTTCCCTTCTCCCCAGTCTTAATTCAATGCATGGTTGGTGTGTCTTACAGGTGACCTAGATCAAAGAATCAATCACATTTTATTACATTTATTTAAGTTTCTACATGATACATGCTTCAAAGGCATTGATTTGGGACTTTTATCTCTCTAGCCTCAGGTTCTAGCAAAATGCAGGTACTTTGTTGACAGAGTCAAATAAACAGATATGAAAGAATAAAGACTGTAAGTTGAAAACAAAGTCAAAGGATGTGGAACAGATATAAACATTTTTCTGGGTCAAATCAAGAACAATGCTTCTATTGTATTTTCTGAGACCTTGAAAGGCAGAGAACTCTTATGTACATATCATTAAAAAACAAATGGCTCAGGAAAAGCGATGCATGCTGATAATTCTAGCACTCAGGAGCAGAAGGAACCTAAATTTGAGGCCACTTAAGGCTACAACACAAGACTTTTCTCAAACACATGAATAGTAATAATAATAATTCAATAAAATATTTAAAATTGGAAATAATTTGACATGTATCATCTCATAGTATGCTAATAATTCAATTTGGGATATAAATCACTCTGGTTTATGATAACCTCCTTACTTTTTCCTAGCCTAAATTTAGATTTTTTTAAAAAAATTTGGGGGTCTAAAACAATGGAGATTTCTTCCTGGTATTTCTTACTTCCAATCAACTACTATTCCCAATTTCAATAATCAAGGAAAATAAATTTTGTAGCTTATAGGGCTGGGAAGGTGGCTCAGTGGTAGAGTGCTTGCCTTGCATGCATGAGGCCCTGGGTTCGATTCCTCAGCACCACATAAGCAAAAAGAAAAAAGCCAGAAGTGACGTTGTGGCTCAAGTGGTAGATCGCTAGCCTTGAGCTGAAGAGCTGAGGGACAGTGCCCAGGCCCAGAGTTCAGGCCCCACGACCGGACCCAAAATAAAAAAAAAAATTGTAGCTCATAGACATTTCCTCTCAGCTAATTATCACTCAATTATTGGTATCTTCCACAGGACCCAAGACAAGGTTTTGCACAATAAGATGCTAAAACTGGATGAGTGAAAGTTGGGTGCTACTGGCTCATATCTGTAATCCATGGTACTTGGAAGGCAGAGATCACGGTTTGATCAGGGTCATGGTTTGAGGCCAATTTGAGCAGAAAAATTCATGAGAGCCCCTTCTCAACTGACATCTAAGTGCAGTAGCTCATCTGCAGCTGACCTGAGAGATTGAGATTGGGAAGATTATGGTTCCAAGACAGCTAAGGTAGAAAAGGCCCAGAGGCTTGCTCCATCCCAACTGAAGAAGCTATCAGAGTGGCATGTCCCAGCATCTCAGCTAAGACGGGAAGCCTGAACTGGGTACATCACAATTTAGACCAGCTTCATGGAAAGATTAAGTAGATACCTCACAGTTCGGACATATGCCTGGATAGGAAGTAAGACCATATCTCAAGAACAATGAGTATAAAACACTAAAAGAATAAAAAGATCTGGAGGCCTGGTTCAGAGGTAGAGCTAGCAAATGTGAGACCCTGAATTCTGAAAAAAGACCACAAATGTTCATTAACAGGACAATCTATGAGCAGTGCAGTATGTTTATACAATGGAATACTACTTAGCACTACAAAGAATGAACTACTGTTTTAACAAGTATAGGAATTAATCTAAAAGATATGCAGAGCAAAAATAAAAAACACCAAAACAGGGAATAAACATATTCACATACTTGTGTAATTCATTTAGAAGTCTTCAAATTAGACTTTGGTGACCAGAATCAGAGCAGTAATTGTCTATAGAGGGTTGTAATTTGTGAGAATTTGCAAGGAAACTTTGTAGGACAATGGATGCATACTACTTACAAAAGTGTGTATGCATGTATATGCATTGTGTATGTGTACATCCGAGTGTGTGTGTGTATGTGTGCATGTGCACACACACACATGTAGACAAAGTCTTGAAAGTATTATAATATAGTCAGGCTGGCTTGGAACTCACTTCCTTAGTGCTGGGATTATAGGCATATACCAATATTCTTGACTATATGTCCTACATTTTGTTCTACATTTTGTGAGAGAGAGAGAGAGAGAGAGAGAGAGAGGGTGTGTGTGTGTGTGTGTGTGTGTGTGTGTGTGTGTGTGTGTGTGTGTGTTGTGCGTTTGTGCATGCGCACGTGTGCAGGCCCTGGGCACTGACCCTGAGCTTTTTTGCTCAAGACCAATGCTCTACCACTTGAACCATAGCCCCACTTCTGGCGGGTTTGTGTGTGTGTGTGTGTATGTGTGTGTGTGTGTGTGTGTGTGTGTGTGTGTGTGTGCACTTAATTGGAGATAAGAGTCTCACGGACTTTCCTATCCAAGCTAGCTTTGAACTGCAATCCTCAGATCTCAGCCCCCTTAGTAGGTAGATTTATGGGCATGAGCCACTGGTGCCCAGCTGTCCTATATCTTTATAGGGGAATTTGTTACATACATGTCAGCAGTTATCAAAACTCATCAAATTGTACATTAAAATATGTGTATCAGTTTGGAAGCTCTATAGACAAATAAATAGCAGGTGAGTATCTTAATCATAGGCACAGTTATTTAGACTCAGAAATCTAATTGCCTAGGATTCACGTGGCAAGAAGAACTGATTGATTTCCTCTGAAACACAAATTTGTCTCTAAAGCTATCATAGTAATCTGTTA